GGAATCCAGGAAGGGAGGGGGGGGGCGTATTGTGGGGAAAATTCTCCTCAAAGGCAGTACGTGCCCTGTTCTCCACTCGTACGTGCACCGACTGCCGGTATTGCGTCGCAAGGTTAGAACGCCAGTTGAACGTAAATTGTATCCGCGAAAAAAAGACCTTGGCTGCTAAACATCTATCAGACTCTAGAAACTTATTCATTCCGGGAAATTCCTTTTCTGCATTTCGCGCGCCTACGTGTCAAAAGCAGCAAGCCCTGTGCTGCAGTTATTCTTTTCCGCGACGATTTCAGTCTCAATATCAGCACATTGAGAGTTGAACTCACCAGAAGAGTATGTTCTCCTCGGAATATTCCGACTGAAGGAATTTCGTGAACTGTGCCCGCCCATCGGTGTCCGAGATAACCTGATCGAAAGCGAACTGCCATTCATTTGGACTGAAAAATGTGCAGATGTCAAGTGATGTCAGTTGATGTCAAAAGCAAAGTAGATGAGAGAAATTGAGCACAAATGAAAAAATGCGTCTGGATGTAGAAGGGCACATTAATTGAAAGACTGAGACGAGGGACCTTGATGGTGTCAGCGCTCAGAAAAAAAATCCAATTTGACTGTTTTTGTAAGATGTCACTTCGGAAATGTCAAATAGGCCTGACTCTAGCTTCATTTCATTACTTTCTCTAACGTAAGGAATGAAAGCTTCCACTGATTCTTATTTTTGAAAAATCTCCAGTGGTTATCGGAGAGAAAAGTTGACCAGCTCCCTGATGTTGAGGTTGTGCCACGCGGCATTTGCTTGTGGATGGTAAAAGCAACCAGCAATAGGGTTTATCGGAAAAAATCTCAAAAATTTGGATAATCCATACTGACACACATTCGGACAAGTGCTAACAGCACACAAACCAAGTAAAAGAAAGGGATATGTTGCAAATATTGACATGCCGGAAAAGCCTTATATAGGCAGACCCCCGCCCCCCGTCCGCCTCGCCGTCGGAGGGTGAAAGGTTAATTTTCTACTGGCCTCAAATGGGAGAAATGGGAGAAGGAGAAAAAAACGCCTGAAACATAGATTAGGGATGAGTGCATCGGAGAAGCCGGCTAAGAATCCCCAGGTCTTTTCTCGATAGCTGATAGGTACGGCTGAACGAAGCAGGTGATGGACCAGGTACGTTGTAAAAATGTCGACTGAGGTATAAGAAGCGAGAGGTGAAGTAAAAATGTACGCCTTTGGATTCCGTGGTACAGTACAAGGGGCAAGGTTATCCACGGAAGTGAAGTAGGGCTACAATGGTGCTGCCTGCCGTACCACTGTAGCCCGACTTCAATTCCCCGTGATAACCTTGCCCCTTGTAGCCCTACTTCAATTCCGTTATAACCTTGCCCCTTGTGTAATTCAGCTGAAAATTGGCGCAATTTTCTCTCACACATTCTATATATGGGAGAACAATGAACCAAAAGTGCGTTTTGAGGAGATAATTGCGGCACGAAAGGGTTGGTCGTGCAAAATTGTTCTGCCACACTTTCGAGGACAAATCCTATGGTAGAAATTGGATCACATACTGATTTCAACCGTTCAATCCCAAGCACAGCACCAAAAGAACTTGGAATAGGGCAAGAGTTGCACTACAAGGCACTTCTCGCGATTATCTATTAGAATCCGAGCCCTGTACCAGGCAGCAGTGTGATCGCAATGGGCCTACTCGCACAATTTCTCGTCAGGAAGTTTTAGGTCAGAGCATGAAGGCGCAAGGATAGCCAAGTGACACCGCCAAAGTGCCAGTGAAACTGCCCGCGTGGTACCTGCCGTCTCGCAGATTTACATGCTCTCTCGCTGCTCTTGTCTGGTCTCCCGCCCGAGAATACCCCGATTCAGTGCTTCTCAATTGGAAAATAAGAAGAACCTTATAGGGCCGTTTTGACAATTCCTGCCAGCTTTTTCATCCATTGCCAAGTCGACTAGGACACTCACTTCTGTTTTTCAATCCCACTACCTGCGAGGTAGTCGACAGCTTACGCGGAATGTGCTTTTAGGCATTTATCGCACTTTTTTGGTCCGTGGGTGAGAATTATGTTTTTATGGACAAAAGATGTCAGAATACATTTGAGGCTTAGTCGCTGATTTATTGGTTTGTAGGCCAATAAATACATGAAATTCACGTGAAAGTGTTTTTTTTTGTTTACTCCGACCATTTCTTCGATACAGGGTGCTGCATTGTTAGGTTACCTACAGAGAAAGCCCCTTTTTCGAGAGAGGTGAAAAGAAAAAAATATAATGTACGAATTAAAAATAACGGAAAAACGTTCCTTCGAACCACAATATCAATCAAAGCTGAGAAGGCTGCAAGACAGCCAGGTCGTATGGGCCCCTAAAATCAAAGTTTTGTTGAAGTGTCATTGAGGCTATATGGCGCGCGCCAGCCCGTTCTCAACCAGTCATTGAAGCGAGTAAGCTACAATAGCAGGTGGAAGACAAGTGTTATAGACGATATGATACAGTCTTGTCGAAAGGAAGGAAGAAAAAATGGGGTTTGCGCCGCGCTAAAATCGTCCCCCTTGACACGCCCCATCATTCGCAGCGGACAAGACTATGGACATCTGGAGGGCAGCATTTCGTTGAGGAAGTATCGAACTTAATCGACTATTTTTGGAAACTGAAACTTGTCCTTTTACCATTCGCAGGATTGGCATTCACAAGTACCACAAGAAGTTACTACGTGAGAAACTAATTTTACTAGAGCTAAATATAATTGCTTAGCCAGTCTCTCAGGGTGGCAATACAGTAATTAATGCAGATTTCCACCTAGGAGACAGGATTTGATGGAATATCACCTGCATCGGTTCCTGATTGCATTCGAAAAACTTCCTGTTACACCTTTTAGCAACCGAAACTAGTAAACTGGAGAAGCAGGCGATTTCCGGGTATCTGGTTGAAGGTTATGACCAAGAAAGGCGATTCAAGCTGAAGCTGAAGCGCTCCTATGTCAATAACGACGTGTGGACTGGAATCATGATAGCCGAAGCTTTGTTGGCCTCCACTGCTCCCAAATCGAGCACGGATTTTCCCTCCTAAGAGTCGCTCAAAGAAGCTTGTCATGAAAAATTCCATCGCAGGCTTCGCAAACGAGTTTTAACCCAGATCCCCGACCTTTCATTATCGGGAGTTTGTAGGTGAACTTGCTATTTGGAGTCTACTCAAAAGCGTTGTTTACTCGTGGTGATCCCAACACCATGACGTAACGTTCCACAGGGCAAAAGAGTGCCTCCAAACATTAGAACGGCATGCCACCAGCGAGTTAATTAACATATTAATTACTTCAGCTGTTTACTTTCTGGGGGAGGCTAAGCTATAAATAGCTGGGACGGATGACGTCTACTGCAAGTCCATGGAATGATCAGATATCATATTTGGTAACTTTGTCTGGAGGAACTGAATGTTGACGCTAAATACTATGACGTAGTTTCTGGTCCAAACAAATGTTAAAAATGACACTCTCGGCGATGGTAACTTTCTTTGGGAGCGTCACGCACGCATTCTGCAGAGGTGATCCCCGCAAACGACAAGGCGTGTGATGCGGCGCGTTTGGAGAGCAGCAGTATTCCGACAATGGTGTCATTCTGAGCCAGCTACTACTGGTGAAAAATGTGCCCTAGCTGCACTCCAAGCTACCCCCCCCCCACCCCCTCAGCCCTATCGTTTGCAGTGATCGTGACCATACGTCAGTCCAGATACGTAAAAGCGCCTGGCACAATATGACAGGCGATAGAGAGCCACTCTGCATACGTTGGCTGTTAGCCTATTATCAATGTTAACAAGTGCAGGGTCAGACGATGTGGCCAGGCGTGTTCTTTGAGCTCCTCTATGAGTACGGTAACAAAGTAATCGGGAAGAAATACGTGACTGACTCGGGCGTAAGCCATTTCGAGGATTGACCCCTCAAATGTGCGGCTCTACGCCACCTCAGCCCATTATATCCTGATTGAAAAGAGAAGGATTAAAGCCTATACAATGATCTGTGGGGGCCACATGACGTACAGGTCAGTTTCAAGCTGTTATTGTTTAGTGAATAAAAGATGTCCATCGAATTGGTGTGGAATACGTGAAGTGCCTCGAAGGCAATGGCGCATAATAGCCTCGCGCTGAGTGGTAAAGAGTGGCGCCGGAGTGTAAGTAGGGTACAGGGCCGGAGTGTTCTTATCCTCACAGACGAATCTGGTACCACTTACCCTCAGAGGCTAGAAAGCTTGGTTGGCGGTGGGCGAGACTCGACCCTAGCTTCAAATTTGAACCGCCTTTGTGGAAAGCTCCTTTGTCACTATCCCACCTCCGCTACATGTTTGGACATGATACGATTTAGAATTACTCACCTCAATATACGTTACAAATCAGCGGTAGGGTATGAATACATTATTTTTTCCCCGGTCGCAAGACGAACAAAACAAGCGATCGGCACGAGCGCCTACAATTTCATCGATGCAGGCGTGTCGCACACTGAGTAATGACTACCAATATAAGGACAGGCTACATCCCGAATGGTACATATACGTTTGGCGTTCATCCCTGTCGACTGGCCCTAGATGTGGTTTGGCTAATCAGTAATAACGCGGAGCTCTTTGAATGTTCGTCCATTCACGTGAAAAAATGCTTGACGTCGCTTTCAGCTGGCATTTTTCAAAGCGCTATGTTGTCGGTCAGGCGTTCCCCCTTCCTGCTTTGCTGGCCTCGTTAAATGCGCCTGCTCCCCTCCCTCCCCCTCTTCCCTCCATGCGGAGCGAGGTATGTGTGATGTCAGCGGGATCGGGAAATCGTATTAGGAAAGCTAGCAGTAACGGGCAGGTGCAAATCAGCGCTACCTCTAATGGAGTTTTGCAGTTACTAGTAGGATCGTGACGTATAATTTCGTAGAAGGAAAATATCGAGTTGAATGCAGGGTACATCAAACTGACGAGGAAATTTTTCAAATTTCTTCCCTTCGTCAAGGGATGCTCGAGATGAACGTGTGCCCTGGTCAGAGCTGTATCCGGTGGGCATCCAAGAAACAGGAAATGGAAATGGAAATGGAGGGAAATGATGTGGGAATTCCAAAAAGTCGGTAAAAAATAGTTGTAAGAATTTAGAGGTTGGTCTCGAGGAAATTAAGCGTGGGGAAAGGCAGGAAATAAGTATGCTAAAAAAGGGATCTGGAAGGAAAAGACAAGGAAAGCACTAGTAAGTCAAGTTCTGGACGGTCCAGAAGGCGGAATAGAAAGAAGGAGGCTAAATGTTCGCTAACTCTGGTTTATGAAGGGACACCACCATATCACAGGAATAGGGTAGGGCCGGGCTGAGTAGCTTCATTTAAAATTTCGCATGATTCGGCGTTCTGGTGTGACATTTATCGTGTTTTGGACGACAAGTAAATGATGCTTATTAAGAGATTGACGAATGGTCCAAATGAAAATCCTCTAACGGAAGGAGGGTTCTTCTTTCGAAATAGATAGTAGCCAGCCACGCTCCTTCGCATCAGATAGGATATTGGGATCTAGCTTCGCGTAGGCGAACAAATTAAATCGCTTCAGGTTTTCTCTAAATTATCTAATTTCCGGGCGAATCGATGATATTGAAAACTTTTGGGACTCGGTAGCGGGAATGCAACATTTGGAATAATGGGAAAAACTGGACTGCGCAATGGATTATGCAGCAGTGAGGCGCTGTTCGCGTGAGAGGGGGCATCAACGGAATCCCTGTGCAGAAGTGGTGCAAGTCGCAAAGACGGCATGAGAACTTTGGGCGCTCAGCAAGTGTATAGAGGAAGAGCCCTCGCCTGAAACAGCCTGAAACATACATATTCCCTCGGTAAAAAAGGATTTTGGGCTGCACTCATTTCGATTTCCGCACAAGGAGTTCTTAAAATGTCCCGCCCCCTCGAAGGCTACTATTGTTCCATTGTACCCTAGGTTCAAGTATTTAGACGACAAAGGCAAAACTTCCCACGAAGAATGACGAAGCACTTAGCTGGCGTGGGCTTCTAGTTTGCTTTTTGTTGCCGTGGGCCAAGTGCGAAAACAAGCGCCCCCCTACCTATTCTCAATATGTTTGATAACTGATATTCGATCAATTACGCTAAATCTGGTCAGACTACTGGACTATTAATAGGTTTCCGAGGGGTAGTTCGCCGATGAATTTATAATCTGAGTCATCCCTAGTGGCATCTGGCTTTTCGTGGGACATAAGGAGACCTCATGACTCGAATGTGAAAAGGCACCGTATACTCGTCCACTTCTTATCGTCGAAAATTCGAGGAGCCCTGTGCCACTCATTCTTGATGCCTGCCGTCGTTGAAGGGCTGACGTGTTTATGAGGGCTTCTATACTACTTTATACCAAAAAACAGTGATAGGTTGTCATGAACTAAGACTGAAGAGAAGGAACAGGTAATGTAGCACTGGCACGCAGCACAATCGACACGCAGCCTACACTCGCAAAAAAGGAAAGCTCAGCGTTATTGAAAGAGCACTGTCGCGTAAAAAGCACCAAGCACTGCTGGCGATGGGTTGTATGGCGATGAGCGAAAAGTACTTCTCACTGTGCAAGTGGCTACGGGGAATCAAGCCAGTAGACTAGAGGTGACATAGCAAACTGAGATATCGCGTAATGATTTTTTTTTTTTTTTTTTTTTTTTTTTTTTTTTTTTTTTTTTTTTTTTTTTTTTTTTTTTTTTTTTTTTTTTTTTTTTTTTTTTTTTTTTTTTTTTTTCCGCGCGAGGTGGCCGGGGAAGCCTTCATGAAGTGTTTTCCCATGAGTTTACCAAAGATGGCCGTCCTAAAAGAGAGGATACGAGGGATAAGAGGCCCCCCACGTGTGCGCGGGAAAAATTTCACATGTAATCCGCCTACGCGCAGAAAAAGTCTGATTTCCGACACTCAGAGACTCCTATGGGGACAAGTGCGACGCCAACTAGGAAGATCAGTAAGCTCCTCGTGAGTCAGCAATCGCCTTTGTTTCATCGAATGTGGGCGGCACTTTAGGGCTATAATTGTTCGCCGGGGATTAGAATGCAGACGGGGCGATTAACACAAACTACCCAACGAGAGCTATGACGCAAGGACGTGCTTAGGTTGCACATTGAAAAAACTTCAGCTTTTGTTAGGACGGCTGCTAGCGTTAGAGGGCGGAAATTCTACCTCGCACCACCCACGCATTGCCTCTGAATTTTCCATAGACAGCCGCCTAATTCTATTCTGCTCCCCGCCGAGCCTAGTCAACTTCTACATGTGTCTATTATCACATTTTTGATCAACGAAAGCCACCTCAACCGGGATGTGGCCTGGGTGATCAAGAACTAGTGCTCGGAACTGTACTCTATTGAGCTTTATGTTTGCGTCTATAATCGCATTTGATCCCGGGAGGGGTGCTGGCCCACTCCACTTTGATAAGGGCAAAATGCGTTTTTCTTGTGGAAATTTCCATTCGAGGGCCCAGCTGTCATTCTACTTTATGTTTAACAAAGACAACGAAACTATTTCGCCCATGTTCAAATGGAATATGCAGCTACGCCCTCCCATCTCCCTGCTATGGCGTGTATTGAAAATCATAAAAGTGGATTGTGCATGTGAGCAGAAGTACTTTTCGACATCAAACTCGGTCGATAGTGACGGGAAAGGGGCGGTACAGCTGTTTCTGAGCTGTTGTTGTTCAAACTCTGGCTACGACATCTGGTTTCTGACATTTCCGAAGTGTGTCAACCCATAATAAGTGGCAGAACACTTTCACGGACACGGATTTCAGTAGTCCTGAGAACCCTGTTTTACCGTGACCATTTACAAAACGGCCACTCTTCTTGAATAATTGGTGCCAGC